TTCAAGGCTTTCATTATCAAACACGACTTTTATAGAAAGCTATTGTGACATAAATGTAAAAAATGAAAGTTTGCTAGAGTCTGATCCAGCGGAATACTTATTCTTCTTTTGAATAATCGATAACCACATCTTTAAACTCAAGCTTTATCATTCTAATTAACAACACGTTATCGTTTATCCACTAGTAAAGAAAATTTGTTTTGTTATAAATTTATTTGGTTGTAACCATTCCATATTTTTTTTGACAATTTATCCAACAAAATAAGCCCTTTGTATTAGCTTTAAAAAAGCAACAAAAGGAATTTTCTTTTGCTAGTCTTCAAGGAAAGTGGTTTCGAATGATGGGACGGGATTTAACCTACGTTCTGGATTCACGATTTACATATCAAGAGTCGCCTGTTCTTCCACTTTTGGAAGAACTATATAGCAAATATGTCCTTTTTTACAGCATCACTCAATTTTTGTATTTTTTAAAAAAAGCGTTGTTGGATTTTGGACGCATTCATATTTACAAAACCAGAAATTTGTTTTAAAATGAAATCTTGTGCGACATGTAATTATTTATTTATTAATTATTGAATGATTATGACTCACGATTAGATTTTAGATTTTTACAAAATTAAAAAAATAAATTAATCCAAAATTATTATGACAGGATCTCGCGATTTAAACGCTCAAATTGAAAGTTTAGTAAACCGTCTTCGTAGACGGTATATATACACATTTTACAATTTATTATATATACTTTTATTTTAAACTCTCTTTTGATTTATCACAGTTTACTAATAAATATTTATATGTTTAAATTAGTCAAGTTATAGGTTCTTTATCTGCTTCACTTGAAACAGCATTATTACTTCGACATATCGTATCTACTACTCGTTGGAAACATATCAATGTACTTATAAATGTAATTAAAGATGTTGGAAGAAGATTGGTAATGGCTCAACCAAAAGGTTAATTGTGATTGATTTATTCAATAATAATAATAACAATAGTAATAAATAAATAAATTAAATGTTGAATTATTTCTTGCCTTGAAAAACTAAAATAAAATAGAACTTGTGGTTGGTAATATAGTTCGTAGAGTTTTACGTTTAATTCGTGATGTGTATAATTCAGAAACAAGTATTGGTGGTGGCGGTGGCAGCGGTGGTGGCGGTAATGCTTCAAGTGGTATTGATGATGTTGATGATGAATTAGATTATGGTGATGATGATGACAACGATAATAATAATAATAATGACGATGATGATGACGATGATGATGAAGATGATGAAGAAGATGAAGAAGATATTGATGATTTTAAAGAAGAAGAAGATGAATATGATGATAATATTTACAGCACAGATGAAGAAGATGAAGATAGTGAATATGAAGAAGCTCATGAAGATGATGTAGTTAAAATTTATAGTGGTCATATAAACTCAAGAACTATGGTTTGTTATCTTTTATCATTGATTGTTTTACTTTTTATAATAATAATAAATTTTTATTATATTACTATTGTTTTTTTATCATAGATTAAGGAAGCCAATTTTTTTGGTGCAAATTCTGAATATATCATGTCTGGTTCAGATGATGGTAGAATATTTATATGGGATAAAATCACAGGAGAAGTAGTTAATTTATTAAAAGGCGACTCGGTAGGTTCACAAAAATAAATTGATTTGCATACATTTGCATAAATGCATACATAAATATATTTTTAAATAACTTTATATATTATAGAGAGTAGTTAATTGTCTTCAACCACACCCACATCTCCCAATATTATGCACATCTGGTATTGATAATGATGTAAAGATTTGGTATCCAGAGGGAGAAGAGAATGATCTTTCAGATTTACAAAAAGTAATAGAGCGTAATGAACTTGAAGTGGAGAATATCAATGAAGATAATGATCCAAATCCTATGTTTCTATTGTCTGGTGATTTTATTCAGATTATTGGTAATTTGATTATTAAATTTTTTTTATTGATTTTTTCCAATTAGTGATGTTATTAGATATTATGATTCATAATTATTTCATGTTATTAGAAGCTATAATCAATCAATCTGGAAGGCACTTTATGGATTGATTGTTGGATTGGTCGATTTAAAAACGAAAGATTCAATGAATATGCAATTAATAACAAATTTATTTAGAAAATCAGATTTTCTCTTCATATATTGAAAGTCAATGCTTTTTTTTACATATTTATTTTATTTTTTATTATTTGCATTAATGAAAAAAAAAGAATAATCTTGTATTTTTTTTTTTTTTGATCTCAGAATAACTTTTGCAATAAATTCATTATTAAATTATTATTATTATTAAATTGAATTTTTGTATCAATTAACATGCTGTTTATACTGCTGTTTAAATCCTTAACCCCGAAAAAATAATTAACATAGAAGAAATGTAAATATTACCAATACTATCATCATTAAATTCAATCAAAGCACTTTATCTTTATACACATAGTGGCGGACATCCTCCATCATATTTATATAGACTTATAAATGAAAATTACGACCCAGAAGATACTATCATATAATCCAATTTTCTTCATATAATAGCAACAGTACCAGTAGTAATGGATCGTTATTTCAAATATGTTCTGTTGTAGACTATTTATTTATGACATCTATAAAAGTATTTTTTAATAAATAATTTGCTAATATCAGGAAGACGATACTTTCTTTATTATTATTATGCACTGGAAATTATATAGTATAATTTCTCTGGAGTTTGTCGTCGAAAATTATGAAAATTAATGCAATAACAATAATCACCACTGTTACCATCATTTTTGATTTACAAACACCATATCAATCAATAATAATGTACATGTGAATATGAAAAATGGATATATAATTAGAAATATGTTGTCCATAGATATGATAAGAAGTTTAACTAACGATTCAACAAGCAACCTAATCATTTTTATATTATTTATTGATTTTTCCATTTCTTCACATATCGTTTTGTTGATTTTTCCATTTCTTCACATGTCGTTTTGCTGTTCTCTAATTTTTCCTTCAGTTCATCAACTATTTTATCCTGATCTTCAAAAGTTTTATTCGCTATCGATAATCTTTCTTTCAACTGACTCATTTCCAACTGAACTTCTTGTTTATCCATATTTATTGCTTTTGCCACCATCCTGACTACATTTAATTCATTATCTAATGTCTCCTTCCGTCGTTTTAATTTTCTAGCCTCTTCTTCTTGACTTTTATGAATTCTTTGTAATTCAACCAATTTATTATTATTGATTTCCAATTCATGTGTAACTGCTAAAAACTCTTCCTCATTGTTACTTCTAAGATCATCAATATTTTTGACTCTGATATGTTTTGTTGGTCGTGATTGTTCTGATGATGATGATGATGATGATGATGATGATGATAATAATTTACGCTTGTGATTCTTGTTTGGGATGGTGGTAATAACTGCCTTTTCTTTATTATTATTAAAATTTGCCCGTTTTGATGGTGGTTCTGGTAGTTTTGAAGTTGGTAGAGTTTTCTTTTTAAGAAGATGATTATTGTTATTATTATTAT